ATAGCTCTCCGACCTTCTGTGTGCAAAAATCAACAGGAGGGTGGCGGATAGTGCATGCATTTAACAAATTGAACGCTGCAACGGTACCGGCTCAGACGCCGATACCGAGGAAGGACGTAATCATTGATGGCATGTCAAAGAGTACCATTTTTTCGTCCATGGATTTGATGGATGGCTTCTATCAAATCCTTATGCGAGAACGGGATATACCCTATACCACAGTTAGCACGCCTAGCGGCATGCTCTGGGAATGGCTAGTAATGCCACAAGGGCTTAGTAATGCCCCTGCCACGTTCAACAGATGTGTATCACATCTGTTGAGACCAGTACGAGAATTCGCGCCGAGTTATTTCGATGACGTATTCATCCATAGTCGAGCTATGGATGGAAAGTCGGATGTTGAGGTTCACAGTTACCACATCCGACAGGTTCTTACAATCATGCGAAAGCATCAATTGCATGCCAACCTCAAGAAGTGTATATTTGCAGCAAGCGAAACACCACTTCTTGGGTGCATCGTTGGTAAGAACGGTGTACGTCCTGATCCCGAAAAGATCAAGGCGATCACCGACTGGCCTGTGCCAGTTGATGTCAAAGATCTTCGAAAATTCCTTGGGCTAGCGGCGTATTTGCACAAGTATTCACGCAATTACGCCAAGATGACTGTGCACCTCTCTCGTTTGTTGAAAAAGAACGAGAGATGGTTATGGAACGCTGAATGTCAGCGCTGTTTTGATGGCATCAAGCAGAGCTTGATACAATCCCCAGTCCTAGCAATAGCCGATCAGGACAGGCCATTTCGTGTGGCCTGTGATGCCAGCGATTTCGCAATCGGCTGTGCATTAATGCAGTACGATCTTGAAGGCGTTGAACGCGTCGTCTGCTATCAGTCGCGTCAGCTGCAACCAGCTGAGCGGAACTATCCAGTGCATGACAAGGAACGCCTTGCCATGAAGTATGCACTCGCGAAGTTCAGAGTCTATCTATAGGAGATAGACCCTTCATTGTCAACACTAACCAGGCGTCATTACGCACGGCAGTGAACAGCCCGCACCTTTCACAACGAATGGCGCGATGGTTGTCATTCTTTGCAGAATACAAATTTACGGTAGAGTACAAACCAGGACGACTTAATGTCGTCGCTGATGCACTCTCACGTCGTCCCGACTTTGAAACAGTCGCGAAACCCAACAGTGAGACAGTCACTGTTGCGGTTATGACGTCCTCAGTTCCATCTACAACGTTGTATGATGATGTGAGGCGGGCATACGCCCAAGATGGTGAGATTGTGAAGTTGTTGACACATCTCTCCCAACCATCCCGAGAATCGTTGAAACGATTGTCGCCTGCGTATCGATCTGCATCAGATCGATACACTACTCGCAACGGTTTACTGTATTATACACCCGTTTCTGGTGACACACCACGTGTTGTCATTCCAGATGATACTGATCTGCGTTTGTGGATCATGTTCGAGTATCACGATGCTCCTATAGGAGGACAACGTGGCCGAGAGAAAACATATCTCACGGTGAGTCGAGACTTTTACTGGCCCCGCCAGTATCAGTTTGTGCGAAAGTATGTTCGCGCATGCGAAGTCTGTCAACAAGTGAAGTCAAGTCCTTCACTGCGTGCACCTTTACAGCCTCTACCGGTTCCGGCTGAGTGCTGGGAATCCATCTCAATGGATTTTGTCTTCAGGTTACCCAAAGACGCACGCGGGAATACGGGTATTCTCGTATTTGTTGAAGATTCAGCAAAATGGTACACCTCGTGGCTGTACCAGAGTCAATCACAGCAAGTGGATGTGCTTGTGTCTTTCTCGACACCATCTTTTGACTTCATGGGTTAGTGGCTGTGCTTGCGTCTTTATTGACACCGTCTTTCGACTTCATTGGGTTAGTTACCCCGTGAGCTAGTATCAGACAGAGATCCACGCTTCACTGCTGATTTCTGGCGCTCCTTGTTCAAACCACTCGGAACGCGCTGGAAGATGTCGACATCTGATCATCCAGAGTCAGATGGTCAGACGGAACGAGCCAATCGTGTCCTTGAAGAGATACTTCGAGGATACGTACACCCCTTTAAGAGTTGGAGTGAGTTCTTGCCCATGGTAGAGTTTTCCATTAACAACTCGGTGCATGCTTCCACGACACATACACCATTTTGCGTGAATGGCTAGCGCCATCCGCGTGTACCCACCTTACTAAAGTGTAACTCTGGTATAAGGGGGGGGAGACTCACGCGAGCAAAAACCGAATTGGTTCACGCTCATTACGCTCTGACGAAGAAGTCATTGCGTTTGATGCCGATATCGATAACATCGATACCGAAGAAGATGATGCCAGTGAGAGTGCGGAAGCCCTCACTGAAGTAGATGATCCCAGTGAGAGTGCGGAAGCCCTCACTGAAGAAAAGGTTGATGTTGCTGCAGTGCGCTCACAGCACACTGAAGCTAACGAGTCATCAGATGAGTTCATACTGGCTCGTAAAACGGTAGTCCGTTTTGTGCAAGACTCCATCGCCGAAGCGGTGGATAAGCAAAAGCAAAACGCTGATAAGAATGGAAGGGCAAACACTCTTTTATTTAATAAAGGTGACTTAGTCCTACTGTCTACGGTTAATCTACCAAAGCATGTAGTGACTAACTTGGGTAGCAGTAAACTACTACCCAAGTACATCGGCCCATTTCGTGTATTGCACCGCCTAGGCAATGCATACACGATCGAGTTACCACGTAAGATGCGAACGCATCCCACGTTTTACGTTGGTCGGCTTAAGCCGTACCATCAGTACGCTGCTTCTTCCGATGAAGAACGCCCTTGCGCTCAAGCATCTCGCAGAGAGCCTTGTGCTCCCGATGGTGGGCATCAACAAGGGTCTGAAGAGCAGCTATCTCATCCCGAGATCGATCAACAATCCCACGAGCTACCCTTAGCTCGTCACGAAGAGATGTCAGAGATCTCTCGTTCTCAAGCTGAGCAAAGGCAAACTCAGATCGATGCTTCAAGACAGTGTCCGCCGGTTGAAGTCGTCTGTCCCGCTCATGTTCGAGGTCGTCGCGTAACGCAAGGTTACGCGATCAAAGAAGCTCTCGGGAACACACGCTCCCCCACGATAGTTTGGAGAGCGTCTTCCTCCTCCTCCACCTCCTTTGGAGGACTCTCGCGGTGGCCAGCGCTATCTGATTGAGCGGATTTTCAACCACCGCGATGTGAACGGACGTCGGACGAGTTACCTCGTCTGGTGGCGCGGTTATCCCCCGTCCTGGGATACTTGGGATCCCCGCTCCCAACTGATGATTGACGTACTGGGTCTGGTCGAGCAGTACGATGCGGCACATCATGTGCCGCAGAAGGACCGCCGGAGAATATCTTCCCGGCACGGTCGTAAAGGGATTTCAGGTTGTCAGTCCCTTCGTACATCTCAGTAGAGATGCGTACGCGCCACCACGGGCTAGTAAGGAGGCAAGCCTCCTTAGGTGCTCGTGCAGAGTTATTCACACAACATGGGCACGAGTCTCCCCAAGAGAGGCAGGGTAACCCTTTCTCCCTTGACAGACGATGCAGCTTGTAGCGTGCACCTGTCGGGGTTCGCTTTTCAAACCTATCACGAGCTTTGATAAGTTTGTCGCTCCAAACGTCACGACCTACATCCTCAAGGTTATGGATGTAGGCGTTCCACGCCTGAAGTAGTGAGGGACCATCACGTTTGTGATTCCCACTGTACCATCGATGTCTAAAGAAAGCATCGATGAAGAATTCATGTTCAGCGCGATAGTTTTTTGCGCTGGGGTCAAGGTGATGGATCCTTGACGAATCGAACAATCGTGTTCGATAACGATCACTCGTCGTCGACGACAAGTGATCCATGACGGATTTTGGAGGCATCCATGCCTTCTTTTCGGGAGCGAGACGCAACACACTGCGGTCCCGCTCTTCCTGCGACGTGCCGACAGAAGGACTGGCTCCTCGTTGCGAAGTGGCGTCAATAGGAGAACCGACACCACTATTGGCGCCCGAGTCTCGCGACCTCGAGCGCCTTCGCTTCGGCGATGGTTCATCTGATTCGTCAGATGAACTAGAGATGCTACGACGATAAGCATCATCCATGCCACGCTTGGCAGGCGGCTTAGATTCAATCGCCGTCGATACGGATCCGTCTTCCGTATCAGGAGAGCACGAGACACCGAGCTCATACTCTGTGAAGACACGAGTGTCTTTATGACGAGTGCCTGCATCACCAAGTGACACAGGCTGGGTCGCTTCAGCAACCGATGAGACATCAGTTGCTGTTGTTTCTGCTTCGGCGTCCGCACAGAGACGTGCGGACGCGCTCTCGGCGGCCTTGCTCGCGCATCGCATGGGCTTGTTAACCATGCGATGAGATGTTGGAAAGTGGACGCGGACCAACAAGTGCAAACCCTGTCCCAAATGATTTGGGACGAGTATCCATTTAGTCAATCAGTCACTAAAGTGACTGATGGTTAAGGGGGGTGATGTAACGGGGTGAATCGTTACATAACAATTTATAAGAATTTGTCAGTAGAATATAACTATAAGAGTTATATTCTCAGAACATTGTCATAAGGACAAATATTCACTGTAGCATTCAATGTAGCACTTACGAGTAGTTCCTAATTGGTTGATATAGGCCGTTATATCAACCAGCGAAGACGCGCTACGACAGACGCACGCAATGAGTGGTGAGCAGATAACTGAATTACACATTTGTATTTAGACATAGTTAGATGAAGATAAATAGTGATTTATTGCAGACATTAACTATTATAAATACAGTTCTACTTTTTACTCTAACCAAGTACTCGCTTCTTCTTACCGTCTTCCTCTGCACGTACGAGTGTACGTGAAGCTACGCGGCACCGCCTTATTCTGTCATCAGAATAAGTAGCTTGTACTGTCACCAGTACAAGCTTCAGGGTGCCCCGTTACACCTGGTAGCACTTCGTAGTCCGTCCAAGGACCGCGTTCACATCCAACATGAATATGTTGGATGATGAAGATGACCAAAGCTTTTACGCTACGCGTGACGGCTATTCCCATTTGAGCAATGACGAACGGGATGCGGTTGAACGGATGGGTTCAACCATGGGCATCCATGCTATTAGCGTCATGCTGGAGGCTCTCAATAGAGATGCCTAACATGCTACTATCGCCAAGTTCATTCAAAATGAACTTGACGCAGAACGCGAGAAAGCAGCCTTGCTTCACCAACAAGGTTCTCAACAATCAGAGTTGTTGAGAGAACAGGGTGCTCAACAGTTTGAACTGTTGAGACAGCAGCAGGCTGCTGCTGGTAGGTTGATGCACTCGCGTCGACCCGAGACCTTGAAGATTGACATCACTAAGTATAGGGGAGTCGAAGAGGACTCTCTCTTGAGATAATTTGTCGAATTAGACGACGCCATAAGGGTTCGTTGCATCGACGATGGGGAAATGCAAGTTGCATTTACACAATCAAATCTGGCAGGACGTGCCAAGACTCGGGCTTTGGGGCTCAAGTTGCACGACCCATATGCGTTTGGGTCGTTGGAAGTCTTCAAGTCGCGGCTCAGACAAACGTTTGAACCGCCTAGAGCTGAGTTCAGAGCTCGAACCGAACTCTTGAAACTCAAACAAGGTAAGTGTGATGTGCACGCTTACGCTCAACATATACGACATCTTACGAGTTGTATAAGTTCCAACCCGGTTGATGAACACACGTTGGTTTCGGTGTTCATGCAGGGTCTTGCGGATGGTCCCGTCAAGACTCACCTGTTCCGACTTAAACTAGATTCACTAGAGCAAGCCATTTCCATTGCGGAGCAGGAAGACTTCAGTCTGAGACAGGCTCGCGCCAGCTCGACATCATATCGCCAACCGAGACGATACGACAGCGGAGGTCCAGAGCCGATGGAACTCTGTTATGTAGAGAGCGAGAAGGCTCGCTCTACAGACTACAGGAAGTTGCAGAGATGAAACAGATGTCAAAAGACAGGACACTACGCTTACGAGTGTAGTGCCCCTCGTCCAGTGTCTCGCAACACTGGGCGTAGTGACCGTCCACCCATGAGAAAGGGGCAGGGACGCGGGTCCACTGTTGGTGCAAAGACGCAACAATGGAATGGACCGTCAAAAAACGGACAGGGTCAGTAGGTGCGGAGCACCCTACTGGTCCAGCAACGTCAAGAAAATTTGTGGGCCTCTTGATGAAGGTTGCTCCCAACACACAAACGTTGTGCGTTGCTGCTCTAGGTAATGAGGTCTCACTCATTACCTTGAAACTCGAAGTGACGAATAAGTTGTCCCTTCGAGCTCTAGTCGATTGTGGGGCGTCCAACAATTTTGTGCGACGCCAATCGCTAGAAGATGGTCACTTTAAGTATGTAGAATGTGACACACCTCCTACGAGGATGACGGTACGTCTTGCGACAGGTGCATCCGTAACCGTCATGAAGCGTATAGTGAAGATCCACTATACGCTAGAAGATACCCAATACGACGATGACTTTATCGTATTGGATTTGGATGACAAATTTGATGTCATCCTTGGAATACCGTGGCTCAGAAGGTACGAACCACGAGTAAACTGGCAACATCGAACAGTAACGATGCCTGCCGCTTGGTCATCAGATGGCCATCTGATGAACGTTTTGGAGCGTCCACAAGCTTGTGGATGTACTACGAGTGAGTGCGATGGCCTCACTTGTGGTACGGTCGTTAGTACGACTGCACAAAACCTTAGTGTACCAAACGGTTACACTTCGGAGCAAAGTTCCGGCGGCTGTGAAGAAACACAGGCTGCGCCGAAGGTCCACCACTCGAATAAGTCGGGTGGACTGGGACAAAGATGTATCCCTAGCGGGGAACATCTAGAAGAGAAACAATCGATCGCTCAGGTTAAGAGAAACGATAATCCTAGATCGACTGGAGAGTCTTTCGTAGAGGATTTCGCTGAAATTGCGCAACCACAGCTAGAGGAAGTTAATGGAATAAGTCCCGATGTTACATATACGGCGGAAATAAGTTCCCCGAAACCCGCGGGAATAAGTCCCTGGGAAGCCGAAGGAATAAGTCCTTCGAGGCCTGAGGGAATAAGTCCCCAGGAAATGACAGAGACATTGAATGTCATAGTCAATAACGGATCAAGCGTAGGCGCTTATACACTTGATCTGATTGCGCCTCCGAAGTTGACTTTAGAGATCACTCAGTTGCCAACGCTCGAACAGAAAAGGCTCTTGCGTGATCTGCGTAGTGGCAAAGTGAAGCAGATCTGCGTACTCGTCGCTGACGACGAGTGTGTAACCGACATAAGGTCAACAACAGTGTTTACTGAGAACAAGAGAGTTCTCAGTAGTTCATCTATGGACGAGAGTGTCCTCGATGAAAAGACACGAATTGAGCGATATGACTCCCAATCATGGGAATCGCTCAAGACAAATCCTCTCTATGAAGATTTGGTTGAATTCAAGGATGTGTTCCCTGAAACGGTTCCGTGCGAATTACCGAAGGATAAAGGTGCTCGACACGAGGTCGAGATTGAACCAGGCTTGAAGTACTGTGTCATGAAGCAGTGGCCACTGCCTCGTGAACAAGTATTTGCGATTGACAAGTTCTTTGCCGATCGTTTAGCTGCGGGCCATGTGAGGGAATCAACTTCCCCACATAGCTCTCCGACCTTCTGTGTGCAAAAATCAACAGGAGGGTGGCGGATAGTGCATGCATTTAACAAATTGAACGCTGCAACGGTACCGGCTCAGACGCCGATACCGAGGAAGGACGTAATCATTGATGGCATGTCAAAGAGTACCATTTTTTCGTCCATGGATTTGATGGATGGCTTCTATCAAATCCTTATGCGAGAACGGGATACACCCTATACCGCAGTTAGCACGCCTAGCGGCATGCTCTGGGAATGGCTAGTAATGCCACAAGGGCTTAGTAATGCCCCTGCCACGTTCAACAGATGTGTATCACATCTGTTGAGACCAGTACGAGAATTCGCGCCGAGTTATTTCGATGACGTATTCATCCATAGTCGAGCTATGGATGGAAAGTCGGATGTTGAGGTTCACAGTTACCACATCCGACAGGTTCTTACAACCATGCGAAAGCATCAATTGCATGCCAATCTCAAGAAGTGTATATTTGCAGCAAGCGAAATATTACTTCTTTGGGTGCATCGTTGGTGCGAACGGTGTACGTCCTGATCCCGAAAAGATCAAGGCAATCACCGACTGGCCTGTGCCAGTTGATGTCAAAGGTCTTCGAAAATTCCTTGGGCTAGCGGCGTATTTGCACAAGTATTCACGCAATTACGCCGAGATGACTGTGCACCTCTCTCGTTTGTTGAAAAAGAACGAGAGGTGGTATGGAACGCTGAATGTCAACGCTGTTTTGATGGCATCAAGCAGAGCTTGATACAATCCCCAGTCCTAGCAATAGCCGATCAGGACAGGCCATTTCATGTGGTCTGTGATGCCAGCGATTTCGCAATCGGCTGTGCATTAATGCAGTACGATCTTGAAGGCGTTGAACGCGTCGTCTGCTATCAGTCGCGTCAGCTGCAACCAGCTGAGCGGAACTATCCAGTGCATGACAAGGAACGCCTTGCCATGAAGTATGCACTCGCGAAGTTCAGAGTCTATCTATAGGAGATAGACCCTTCATTGTTTACACTGACCATGCGTCATTACGCACGGCAGTGAACAGCCCGCACCTTTCTCAACGAATGGCGCGGTGGTTGTTATTCTTTGCAGAATACAAATTTACGGTAGAGTACAAACCAGGACGACTTAATGTCGTCGCTGGTGCACTCTCACGTCGTCCCGACTTTGAACCAGTCGCGAAACCCAACAGTGAGACAGTCACTGTTGCGGTTATGACGTCCTCAGTTCCATCTACAACGTTGTATGATGATGTGAGGCGGGCATACGCCCAAGATGGTGAGATAGTGAAGTTGTTGACACATCTCTCCCAACCATCTCGAGAATCGTTGAAACGACTGTCTGCGTATCGATCTGCATCAGATCGATACACTACTCGTAACGGTTTACTGTATTATACAGCCGTTTCTGGTGACACACCACGTGTTGTCATTCCAGATGATACTGATCTGCGTTTGCGGATCATGTTCGAGTATCACGATGCTCCTATAGGAGGACAACGTGGCCGAGAGAAAACATATCTCACGGTAAGTCGAGACTCTTACTGGCCCCGCCAGTATCAGTTTGTGCGAAAGTATGTTCGCGCATGCGAAGTCTGTCAACAAGTGAAGTCAAGTCCTTCACTGCGTGCACCTTTACAGCCTCTACCGGTTCCGGCTGAGTGCTGGGAATCCATCTCAATGGATTTTGTCTTCAGGTTACCCAAAGACGCACGCGGGAATACGGGTATTCTCGTATTTGTTGACAGATTCAGCAAAATGGTACACCTCGTGGCTGTACCAGAGACAATCACAGCAAGTGGATGTGCTTGTGTCTTTCTTGACACCATCTTCCGACTTCATGGGTTGCCCCGTGAACTCGTATCAGACAGAGATCCACGATTCACTGCTGATTTCTGGCGTTCCGTGTTCAAATCACTCGGAACGCGCTTGAAGATGTCAACATCTGATCATCCAGAGTCAGATGGTCAGACGGAACGTGCCAATCGTGTCCTTGAAGAGATACTTCGAGGATACGTACACCCCTTTAAGAGTTGGAGTGAGTTCTTGCCCATGGTAGAGTTTTCCATTAACAACTCGGTGCATGCTTCCACGACACATACACCATTTTGCGTGAATGGCTAGCGCCATCCGCGTGTACCCACCTTACTAAAGTGTAACTCTGGTATAAGGGGGGGGAGACTCACGCGAGCAAAAACCGAATTGGTTCACGCTCATTACGCTCTGACGAAGAAGTCATTGCGTTTGATGCCGATATCGATAACATCGATACCGAAGAAGATGATGCCAGTGAGAGTGCGGAAGCCCTCACTGAAGTAGATGATCCCAGTGAGAGTGCGGGAAGCCCTCACTGAAGAAAAGGTTGATGTTGCTGCAGTGCGCTCACAGCACACTGAAGCTAACGAGTCATCAGATGAGTTCATACTGGCTCGTAAAACGGTAGTCCGTTTTGTGCAAGACTCCATCGCCGAAGCGGTGGATAAGCAAAAGCAAAACGCTGATAAGAATGGAAGGGCAAACACTCTTTTATTTAATAAAGGTGACTTAGTCCTACTGTCTACGGTTAATCTACCAAAGCATGTAGTGACTAACTTGGGTAGCAGTAAACTACTACCCAAGTACATCGGCCCATTTCGTGTATTGCACCGCCTAGGCAATGCATACACGATCGAGTTACCACGTAAGATGCGAACGCATCCCACATTTTACGTTGGTCGGATTAAGCCGTACCATCAGTACGCTGCTTCTTCCGATGAAGAACGCCCTTGCGCTCAAGCATCTCGCAGAGAGCCTCGTGCTCCCGATGGTGGGAATCAACAAGGGTCTGAAGAGCAGCTACCTCATCCCGAGATCGATCAACAATCCCACGAGCTACCCTTAGCTCGTCACGCAGGGATGTCAGAGATCTCTCGTTCTCAAGCTGAGCAAAGGCAAACTCAGATCGATGCTTCAAGACAGTGTCCGCCGGTTGAAGTCGTCTGTCCCGCTCATGTTCGAGGTCGTCGCGTAACGCAAGGTTACGCGATCAAAGAAGCTCTCGGGAACACACGCTCCCCCACGATAGTTTGGAGAGCGTCTTCCTCCTCCTCCACCTCCTTTGGAGGACTCTCGCGGTGGCCAGCGCTATCTGATTGAGCGGATTTTCAACCACCGCGATGTGAACGGACGTCGGACGAGTTACCTCGTCTGGTGGCGCGGTTATCCCCCGTCCTGGGATTGTTGGGAGCCCCGCTCCCAACTGATGATTGACGTACTGGGTCTGGTCGAGCAGTACGATGCGGCACATCATGTGCCGCAGAAGGACCGCCGGAGAATATCTTCCCGGCACGGTCGTAAAGGGATTTCAGGTTGTCAGTCCCTTCGTACATCTCAGTAGAGATGCGTACGCGCCACCACGGGCTAGTAAGGAGGCAAGCCTCCTTAGGTGCTCGTGCAGAGTTATTCACACAACATGGGCACGAGTCTCCCCAAGAGAGGCAGGGTAACCCTTTCTCCCTTGACAGACGATGCAGCTTGTAGCGTGCACCTGTCGGGGTTCGCTTTTCAAACCTATCACGAGCTTTGATAAGTTTGTCGCTCCAAGCGTCACGACCTACATCCTCAAGGTTATGGATGTAGGCGTTCCACGCCTGAAGTAGTGAGGGACCATCACGTTTGTGATTCCCACTGTACCATCGATGTCTAAAGAAAGCATCGATGAAGAATTCATGTTCAGCGCGATAGTTTTTGCGCTGGGGTCAAGGTGATGGATCCTTGACGAATCGAACAATCGTGTTCGATAACGATCACTCGTCGTCGACGACAAGTGATCCATGACGGATTTTGGAGGCATCCATGCCTTCTTTTCGGGAGCGAGACGCAACACACTGCGGTCCCGCTCTTCCTGCGACGTGCCGACAGAAGGACTGGCTCCTCGTTGCGAAGTGGCGTCAATAGGAGAACCGACACCACTATTGGCGCCCGAGTCTCGCGACCTCGAGCGCCTTCGCTTCGGCGATGGTTCATCTGATTCATCAGATGAACCAAAGATGCTGCGACGCAAAGCATCGTCCATGCCACGCTTGGCAGGCGGCTTAGATTCAATCGCCGTCGATACGGATCCGTCTTCCGTATCAGGAGAGTACGAGACACCGAGCTCGTACTCTGTGAAGACACGAGTGTCTTTATGACGAGTGCCTGCATCACCAAGTGACACAGGCTGGGTCGCTTCAGCAACCGATGAGACATCAGTTGCTGTTGTTTCTGCTTCGGCGTCCGCACAGAGACGTGCGGACGCGCTCTCGGCGGCCTTGCTCGCGCATCGCATGGGCTTGTTAACCATGCGATGAGATGTTGGAAAGTGGACGCGGACCAACAAGTGCAAACCCTGTCCCAAATGATTTGGGACGAGTATCCATTTAGTCAATCAGTCACTAAAGTGACTGATGGTTAAGGGGGGGGTGATGTAACGGGGTGAATCGTTACATAACAATTTATAAGAATTTGTCAGTAGAATATAACTATAAGAGTTATATTCTCAGAACATTGTCATAAGGACAAATATTCACTGTAGCATTCAATGTAGCACTTACGAGTAGTTCCTAATTGGTTGATATAGGCCGTTATATCAACCAGCGAAGACGCGCTACGACAGACGCACGCAATGAGTGGTGAGCAGATAACTGAATTACACATTTGTATTTAGACATAGTTAGATGAAGATAAATAGTGATTTATTGCAGACATTAACTATTATAAATACAGTTCTACTTTTTGCTTTAACCAAGTACTCGCTTCATCTTACCGTCTTCCTCTACACGTACCAGTGTACGTGAGGTCCCGCGGCACCGCCTTATTCTGTCATCTGAATAAGTAGCTTGTACTGTCATCAGTACAAGCTTGAGGGTGCCTTGTTACAAAGACTGTATTTAGTATCGTTAACCCTTTTCATAAATACATAATTAACTTCACTTTACTATGCCTGAATACAAACACGTATTGTGAACATCTGCACACCACTCATTGCGTGCTTCTGTCGTGGCTAGACTTTATTGGTTGACATCTCGGTCCTACATCAACCAATGAGCAGTGTGCTACATCTGCGGAGCAATATTATCTGTTAGGACCACATTGTGAGAATATTGTGTTCGCCCTAACATAATATCACTACTTGATAATTGCCTCAAGTAAACTATCATGTAACGGAGGTACTCTCTTTCACCAGCATTCCATCGGACGGCCTGTAAGTAGTAACAGCTTACGCCATTGCACGTGGAGAGACATCCCCCGCAATCTCGGTCTTCAAAATCCACTTTATCAATGGTGATCGCAATGCAACCTACAGTTATCTACACGTATTTACGCGCTTGGCTAGATGTAAGTTTCATAATTTGAATGGCTGATTCAGAGGTCAACCAACACGAGCGGCCAACGCTGGCAGCTTCAAGACGCAGTACGATTATCCTCAGGAATTCTGAGCAAGTTTTAGCTTTTGCTGTACAAAGAGACCATTGCGTCGTGCACTATCTTCACGTTGCTCTCGTTCGGTTAGACCCGATGCCCCTGAACAACTTCATTTTGTACCCTGCGGCAAACCTTTCGCGGTGCACCATAAGTCACAACGACGCAGTCGTCGTCGAGTTGCATCTGCGGCTGGAGTTGTGTTAAACGAATGTTATCATCCAAGTCGTACGCGCTGTACAACGATCGCTGCTTCTGCAAGAACTGCAGTGTACAAATCACTAAATTGGGTGGTAGTGATCCTTCTTAGACCTCGAAAAATCAGGTCCAAGCCGCACGGACGAAAGCTCATCAACTATATGCACTACAGGTGCATCTTGCAGTGAGCTTGTGCGACGAGCCACACAAATGTCAAGGGCCAGCAGCCAGACAAAATTCTCAGGACCTTGCCACGCAGGCGTTCGCATCAGCAGAGTTCGAGACCTTCAACGCAGGCAATTGTAATCGCTTGCTTGCTCGTAGAACTGGGTGCGCATCTACGCTTACCCGCACAAGCTGAATCGAGACATTCGTTAGATCCATGCTCGAAAGCGGATTGTGGACACGTAACGTGTCACTAGCTTAGCATCAAGGTCGGCCCCATGACCTTGTTTTCCCACCGCAAGGCAAGTGACAAGATCTCAAGCATCCACACACGCGTGCCAGCAGCCTCGGTGCCGTACACAATCCCTCCGTAGCTGAACCTAACAGCATTGTCGTCGTCTGGATCGTCATCGAATAGAGTCCTGCATGTAACCAATGCATTAAGGATCGCAAAGAAAATGGCAGACTCGTCAACCGAAACCGCAAACGCACCATGTAAACATGTCGAGCCATTTAACTTCTGCGCCTCCTCGAGCCTCGTAAGGTCCGACGGTACCGTCTGAGTGAACCACTCGCAGACGGTTGCGATCGACAGACCGGAAGAGGATGACATACCCATCGTCCACTTGAAAGCGAGTGACTAGAAACAACGACTGGACCGTGGCCCTTGTGCTTGTGTTTGTAATGACACGGTACATGATCACATTGTAATCGTCCACGACCTGCAGCACCTTCATTGACAGGTGCATCGTAGACGAGTAGAGCTCTGTCAAACACCGCGACGATGACACCACGCGCCAGCCACGAGCGGACATTTTCATTGGAGTGACGCCAGGAAAGCGCTTCTTGAGTGTGAACTTGACATGATCCGGCGCCTCCCGCCGCTGTTCGCGCCACCCAAAAATCTCGAGACCCGAGGTCAGGTAGTCGTCACTGTTCAAGAAAGCTCGGGCTTCCCGGTACGCGTGAAGGGCAATGTGATGGCATTCGGGGACCGTCAACGGCTCGAGTGCCACCTCGTTCACCGGGGATGGTGAGTAGCAAAGCCCTTGTGAACGCAGCACGTTCCTAGCTCCGTCTCCGTCGCAGAGGACCTCCCTCATCGTCTCGTCGTCGACATGTGCTACCATCATAGGCGACGCCAGGGTCAGCTCGGGCTTCGAGTCCAGCATATGTTGAGCCTTGAGCTGGAACTTGGCGTGCTTGGACGCCATGAGCGTCAGCTCTTGGTTCTCTTGGCACAGTTGCTGCTGTGTAATGGACAGCTGCATGTATTGCTCCACCAGCTCCTCCGAGGCCTCCCGTTCGGCGTCGCATCCCAGAGCCTCTGCGACTTCGCGCCACTGCAGCTGCTGTTTCTTGCGGTCGACTGTGCGCGAGTACTCGCGCTCGAGCCAGCAAACCTCGCGACGCAGAGCCTTCATCGCGTTCTGGCGCATCAATAGGGACATACACGTTAGCAGAGACGAACGATTAGTCGAGTAAATGTGCACTTGCCTGCTGGCGGTAGTAGCTGTTCTTGACATGTTCGCGCTGGCGAGCGCGTTTGGCCTCTTCCGCTTGCAGTTCCGTAACCATTCGCCCGTTGTTTAGCTGCGCCATTGTGTCCGTACGCGCTTCCTGGGGAGGTTTCGATCCAACTCGAATTGCGGAGACTCTCGGAGGAGCTGAGCAACTTGAAGTGGGATCAACCTGAATCATGGCCTATCCAGATTCAATGTCGTCGTGGTCAAATGATACTGTCGTTGGTCGTCATGCTCTTGAGCCGTGGATAGGTGGATCGTGCCTGCCACAACTCCTGTGCATCTGGAAGGTTTGAAGCAGCAGTACTCGTAATGGTCTACACGCATCTGCGCACGTACGAATCGTGTTTGACACTACAGCGATTTCACGCATTCGTGTTGATGGTCTAAACGTCCAAGTAGTCAGCTGCCTAAACCGTGGCAAAGCTCCGAAATGCAGTGCAAGACAGTGCGTGGCAGGCCCAACGTGGCAATCGACTCCAGCAGCAACTATGATCTGAGGAAGTGCCAGGTGTGGTCGTCCATCGGGTAGTCACGAAACGATCGGGTCTTCATCACCAGGAGGGAAGTGGTTCTTGATGGCGAGAGCTTCAGTGCTGCTGAGCAGTGAAGATACAATGGTGCACATGAGCGCGAAGGCTTGAGACAGCAGCTCAAGCGTCACTGGGCGGAAGAACGCTAGCATGGCTGTCATACACATACTGAAAGAAGACAAACACCAAAGGTGTTTAGCTCCGAGACGGTAGACGAGGAAGGTCTACCACAAGACCGTTTGTTGACGAGGTGAAGCAAGACGCGGACGTACAGGATCGATCGTGGCATCAACTGGTCAGTGTTTGCGGTACCTGCTTGTAGGTCAACGAGAATGAGTAAGGTTTACATAAGACGTCACCATAAGAAACGGATCAATAAATTCGGCCAAACAAGCATGCGGCAACTCACTGAGCCGTAGCTACAAAGGAGTACCGGCAGATGAACACGAAATTTTCTGGAGATCTTCTGCTCTAATGATGCTGAACAAAAGTAGCAAGGCTACATTGAGCGTCGTCACCCACCGTGACGAGCTCAGTCAAACCGCCAGACTCGCAAGCAGAATCGTGGCTTCTAACCAGCCTTAGAACACATTGCGACACCCAACAGTCCATAAAGACCAAATGAACTCGTCAACCTCTCTCGTTTTTCTCCCTCTACGTGTCATGGTCCTCCGATGTTTGTGTCAGTTCTTTGGCCAAAGCTCGGTCCAAGATCTCCTGCACGTTCGGGTCCTTCTTTAATGCTTGTTCCCACGCTTTGTTCGCCTTCATCGTCTCCACGCAAGCCAAAATTGCAGACGGATCGCCAGTCTCTTCCAGAACATAGAGCGCGACAACGTACGCAACGCTGTTCAGCACCAAACCTCGCGAAGTAGCTTGCGCCAGCAGAGCTATCACATCGGCATGCAAGTCACAAGTACGAGCACGGACAATTGCACGCTCGAATGTCCAGGCATCCCAAGTAATAATTCCACGATATTGCACGAGAAACGCCTCATACGATAGCTGCAAACCATTGAGAACAAATGCAGTACGAGGCGTAGTATCACCATTCTGCTTCCGAAGTTGCTGGACTTGCTTCGAGATCACGTCAAATACGCGCTTAATCACTCGTCGACTCATTGGCGGATGACTCTGTACCTGCCAGCGGTCCAGGCACACCAGCATCGTAGAGATGTCTTCATTAGATTGACAAATATTCACAATCAGCGAATTCAAGTGCGTACGCTGGTTCGGGTACTGCTTGTCAAAGCACCGCTCGATTTCGAGACGATCAAAATTAAGGCCAACACTAGATGACTGTTCCTCTCGCTGTCCGGCTGCAAGCAGAGGGTACAAAAGTTGAGAGAAAATCTCGGGCCGCAACTTGACATCCTTACGCCCGACCGCAGCATGCATAAGTTCAAGGGATACGCTCAGGTCTCCAGCATGCAGGCTTTGTAGAATTCCTTGGGAAAGGGAATGCGTAGTGTACGGGATGACACAAGGAAACTTTTGGAACAGCTCCATGATCGTTGGACATTTGCCTAGTTTCTTGTCGGCATCAAATCTTGTGCTCCCTCTCTGGATCTCCGCTCGGTACTGCGCAATGCTTTTGAACAATTCGCCAATCGTCCGGTTGGTACTTCGGTTATTGCATAGCTGCATCTCGTGTAAGAGTTCCATCATGTGCTTGAAGTTGCCGTCGAGTATGGCGTAATGCAGCAAATAGTTAGCAATACTGCTATCCGTGTCCCGAGCAGTATAGACGCACTCATGCTCCTTGGCATCTACGTACAAATCTGCGATCTCCATGCGACTAGCATCATCAGGAGCACTCTCCACAGCATGAGCAAACGACGCTGCGTCTATTGGCACGCGATGTGTCGTTCCATGCTGGAGCAGCACCTTAGCAGCCTCATGTTGACCTGCTGCAGCAGCAGCGCTCACTGCAATCGAAAGCCGCTTCGAATCCAGACCGAGTGCATACGGGAATCGATCCATGTACTCAATGATAAGTTCTCCCATTGCTCTGGCGGTGTATCTCGCATCTGGACCAGCTTCCAGGTCACTTGAAGCTTTCTGATCATCCGTCAGATCAACAAAAAAGATCTCTGGACGGTGCAAAATAAGCCTCACAAGCGCATGGGTAGATGAGTAACTCGTGCGTAGTGCCAGACGCTCCATAGCCTGCAGTAGCGTGTCCACACGTCGTCGCAGTCCGTCATCCGTTTCGTCCATGACTCTCGTCGTGCACTCCAATCGAAGTAAGAAATTGAATGAGTCTGCCTCGTGGATACCGGCTTTGTTACATCTGCCGACAACCTCACGCTGATAGAAAGGTCCCATGTCGCGTGTGCGGTCTGCGTCCAGCATTGCCCACAGCACGAAGCGATGCATCTGCATCCTCCTGCTCGTAACACTAGGCCACGTAGTGGGAGCCCTTGGCTTTGCCCGTACTTGATTCTTCTTCTCGTCTTCCAGGAACTGATTGTAGCCAGCCCAGACGCGCTCGAAACGGCCTTCACGCAACGCTTTGTACAGCAGAGACAAGTACAGCTCCTCTTTGAGCTCCAACCCGCGCACTTGCAGCTCATGGAAGGCCTTGCGCGCTGCTTGGTAAGTCGTTTTAGGGTTCATAATGCATTGATGCAGACCCTTCGTCGTCTTGGTTCTTGCCTCAAGTGAAGCGCTCTTTCCAGTCGTCTCTCCAGCTGAATTATCTCCAAGCACCGGCCTTGGAGCATCGCCGCTCTCTCGACTTAGATGTAGCAGACGTGAAGACAAGAGGACTGTGGTCTTAGTCTGAGTCGTACGAGCGTGATGAGTCGAAAAGGGGCGCGCTACGACGCGGCGGAGCGCCCGAGGCCGCATGCGCTCGCCGACTTGGCGCAACAGAGACATCAGTGGCACAGTGTACCAGTCGTGTTGACCACCACAATGAAGCCATGGCAGAGTGAAGGTCTCACTTCAACTTGCGCCTTGACATGGAGAAGAACGCGCGCTGCCCCGTCCTGTCCAATGCGCCCGTCTGTCCCTCTCCTGCTTCGCTTCCTGTGTTTCCGCCACTACCGCCACTGCCTCCACGAGACGGCAGCCAGTCGTTGGAATTGTCGAAGGAGATGGGCGACCAGCTGCCTGTAGTAGCATGGCCCGAGGCACGTTTGAGAGCTATCCATGTGACAATCATTCACTTACTCGGCCCCGCAAAAGAGTGCTCCGCACTTGAGACACTAACGTACTAACTATTTGATGACCATGTAGAGCTTTTTTCAGCAGCAGCAGCAGCAGTGCGTTCCGTTTGATATAGTGCTGGACTGGCACATGAAGAGAGAGAAAGACTTCAAGACAAGCGCTGTCAGCACAAATGAGAAAGACGCTGGCAGAGAGTGGGAGGATGCTGGCAGAGAGTGGGAGGATGCTGGCAGTGAAAGCACTCGTTCATGTGCCCGTCCGAGTCCTTCTTTACATGACTCGATCCACTCTGGACGCACTATCTGGAGCATCACTCCCGAGGAGCTCACTGCATTGGCGGAGGAAGCTCACTGGAAACCAGAGTCTGACGTAGTAGCAAAAAGACAAGCAGTGGCCTCGATAAGTAAAGGCCATCTGGATGAATTCGAGTTGCAGCGGGCTGTGCAGAAAATGAAGGAGATGGCGGCGTTGCAGTCGACACGCACTTTCAAGAAATACTACGGACTGCCGATCATTCCTTTGTCTGCTCCGCTGCTTCAGCAGTATGTCGTGTTTTTTTGGCTTGCTTTGTTGGCAACACATTGCCGAGTTGACGACAGTTGTGTGTCATCTTAGTGAAGCAGAGGCGGTAGAAGAGAAGGTGACCTCAATCGCGAATGTTGCTGATACCGGGGCGGTGGAGAAGGCAGAGAACGCGCTGGACTACAGCCAAATCTTTGGTCTTTCGGCTACGACACCTACATTTTATCCGCGGCAGACTGCTGACTCGAACGACCTCATTCAAATGGTAAGTGGCTGTATCTATTGGACTTCATACGCGTGATCGGTATGAATGAACAGCGCTGACGTTCGTGGATGGCACTTAGTTGAAATCTTCGCTTACTAGAAAGGTCGCACCACACATGGATTGGTGGCCGGTAAACGAGTCTGCACTTTGTTTGTTTCCCGCATCTTTAGAGCTGTGTTTAAGCATGTGAGCTATTTTGTGCAGGGGGACTGGAAGTGCACAAATTGCGGTAAGTTCGTACGCGGCGCTGTGTATCGCCATTTATTGATCTTTCTAACGCTTTGTCTGCTCAACCAAGGCAACCACGTACTATTTTGTAGCCTTGTTCGTTCATTTACACGATGAGCTGATTGTCCATTTCCTTGAGACACAGAACTTTTCCTACAGGGACACTTGCAAGCGTTGTCGAGTGGGGCGACTGGAAGACGCTGGATTTGTCTTCTCATCTTCCATGGCTGACCCCTCGACCTAATTATGCAGACCAGGCCAGTATACAGCATTGTGACGACCTGCTACTGAGCTCGCGATCTAATCCTTTACAAGGTTGTCCTCTCAGCACAGGCCTTAACGAATCACGAGCGATCAAAGCGCCGCTACTATTTGGTTTCAATATAGCTTTCCTTTGCATCATTTGGAATTTTATAAGGCTGTTTTAACATCCGAGGCACATGTGTTTGCAATATCGTTTCTGATATAGAAGGTGCCAGCTTGACACGTAGGCGAGTCGTAGCGCATCTGCCGCTTCGTCAACATCCGTGATATGTTGACGTTACAGCAACTTGAAAGCACTGCTAGAACTGGCGTGAAATTGCTTTGTCGTACCTGTTTCACACCTGCGGTAAAACCGTTGTGGCTGGCAACACAAAACGACGCGAGATGCAGTAATCCTGTTACAGCTCTACCAAGGGCGCTGTCGCAACATAAATCGACAATGCGAAAGACCGATCACAAGCGCTTGATAGCCGATTCCACGGCTTTCTGAACAGACAAACAATAGCCACAGCAAGTTTTGGATGATACTGCTGATCATGTTATCCATACCGACACCGGTGGACACAAATTCTTCCTGCAACTGTCATAACGCTCATGTTCAGTGCCCGCAGCGAATAAACGCGATCAATTCGATTGCTCTGCAAAACAAAGACTCCTTGCTGTTCTCCTCCGCAGCGACGAGTGATCGAAAGGCATGACATAACCAAGATTGTCTCCAAATTGTGTGGTATAAAAAAATAATATCGGCCGTGTTGAGTTCTTAAATAGCTACTGAAATGCTGAATAGTTGTAGAGGCAGTTCAAACTCAACTCGCTTATTAGCCGACCAAATAAGTTGTAAATATGTGAAGCCACGCAGCTTTGTTGTAGCACTTCCTTCGATCGGAAATATTACTGCGTGGCGCACCTGACGTCGTCAATGGAAACGCGCATCAATGGTCAAGGTCCGTAAATGGGACGCAGCAAGCGGACTCGCAATGTGATCTAATTCAAATGAGCGAACGCCGGCTTAGATAGAGTCGTCGCCTGGCACGCCGATACAGCCGTAGAAACTCTTCAGTAACTTGGTAATCTTGCACCCCTGCTTCTCACAACGGGCCATCACCACAGGCGGGCACTTACACAGCGCCTCTTCAAGCTCCAGTAGGAAAGCGTTCAGGAACAGCACGCGCTCGCGCACAACGCTCTTCGAGTTCTTACCCAGTAAGCGACCCTGCATTACAGGGAACTCAGTGTCGGCGAACACACGATCGAGGCAGGATGCAAGCAAGCAGCTCTTATCGCCGCCACAACACACCGCCTGCTCTTGAAAGTAGCGACGAACGAGCTGCTGAAGCTGCAGGAAGGACGAGAAACGGCGGTACACGAGGTCCTCGCCGCCGAATCGATCGGTCTGCACGCGGATGGCATAGTCGGTATGTCCCTCTACCTTCCGGGTAGCTACGATGGTGCAGTGTACATTTTCTAGAGATACGACGGAATCGGTGGGAGTGTGAGGCTGCAGCATTGTTATTCAGGAGTTGGTCGAGTATGCAATTGACAGCGAGTTTTGGAATGGTAGGTAGAGTGACAGCAACATCGAATCCACGGATGAGTCCCGAACGTGCGCCACATTGTTCGGCTACGCGACAAGAATGGCGACCTCCTCGATTGGAGACGAACACACGAGGTCCAGTCCATCGTGCGTTGCTGACCCGTCGCTGTGCTGGACGCCACGCACGACAGTGTCGACACTAACGCTCGAAACGGTCACGGCACCGATTGAGGCACAACCCACAACCTTCTGGGTGCACATATGTATTCGTTCGCCTTCAGTGCTGCTACGACGTTCAATGAATTGACGAGCTGCCAAAGAACTCCACCTTGTTCATGAATGGATCGTATGGTGTTACAGGCGAGCCTCATTGCCGGCTGTTCCGCGATTCCGCGTGCATTCGTTATCCCAGTTCCACGCTTGTGCATGGGCTCTTTTAATCACGACATGACGAAACGCTACGTGGCAAGACATTTGACTGCGCTCTGGCGACAAATGGCTTATTCTACTAGGCGGAAACTGTCGCGTGTCTAGCGCCTCGGCTCTTGGACCAACAACAGTACATCAAAGGTTTTGGTACGCGTGTGGTGTGGTTCATGCCGAAACGGAAAAGCGCCGGCTCCTGTCTGTACTGGACGTACTCATGCACGATTTGCTAGATGCAGGAGTCGACTTTCGTAAGCACAATCGGACGGACCTTAACGATCACCGACAACCCCACTTGCGCAAGCGTAGACATGAGGCATTCTTGCTTCTGAGGCCACAACACACAGCTCTCTCTAGTCAGCTTCCGCGATCAGCGAGAGTGCAAGAAAGCTCGTTCCGGCTTTCAGCGGTAAGGTATCACTACGCATGCACGACTTTACACCCGTAGTGCTCCCTCTTACAAGTCATGGGTTTGGTATGCCCAATCAACATTTACCCGAATGTTCTCCTTACCAAAAGATCGACCTTTTCGGATGTAGCCAAAGCCTGACAACATTTTGAAAAGCGATTGCCTCAAACCCTCCACTGATCAGAGCCGGCAGCGCAACGCATTTCTTCACGTACATGAACATCACTGTTCAGTCCGAGCACCACGATTGACGCCAGAATAGCTGGGACAAAAGTAGGAGCAGGAATCCGGCAGCAACGAAGTAAATTTTAGAATGTAATATTGTACTACGTGCGATACTTAGTCCGAGTATGCTTGATGCTGTTTGTTAGCATACGGTACAACACGTTTTATCTGATTCGACCAGGGCCACCAAGATGCAAGCTGTATATTACCCGTACAGCTGTGAGCTTTACGGCGCAGAGTTACGTGCAGGTCGGACCACGAGAACCCGTAGCGTGAAGCAGCATCCTTTGCAGCCGTTGTTGTACCAGGCCATTTGGACGCACCTGGACTTTCTCCAGCACAATGGCTTTGTAGGTGAGACAGACACAAAAGTAAATGGTGCACAAGTTGCGGGATGCTAATTCTACCACAGTCAGTACAGAGTCAGGACTTAACACTCGTTGCGACGCGTTGCGGTCTTCTTTTAGTACATGTGCTTTTATCAAAACAGAAGAAACCGCTAACCAGACCTGTCACACATTTAAATAAAAACCAAAAGACTTAGTTTCGCTTTTTTATGCAAGTTGCATGCAACAGCAGAAATTTGTCTTGTCGTGTAAGCTTACGGGTATATGTCTGGAGACATTTCGGCCTCGAAGCCACATTTTACACTTTGCTCAAAATACGAGGAAAGTTTTCCATACAACTCAGCTTTTTTCAACAAGTAAGAAATTATTGTGAGCCCGAAGGGTGAAGCTATTGTGCCTGTGCGCAAGGTAAATACTATTTTTCTCAATCGTATCTAAGTGTGTGTGTGTGCCGTTGCTTCTGTAAATAACGATAAGTGTTACGGGGTGCCTCCGTTAGATGATAGTTTGCACAAGGTAAATACCAAGTACGACTATTCTGTTCGGGCAAACATAATATTCTCACATTATGGACTAAATAAGTAGTGATGTGTCGCAAAGGTAATGCACTGCTCATTGGTTGACATTAAGTAACGGTGTAAACCAATGTAGCCGAGCCGCGACAAAAATGCAATGAGTGTATACAGATAGTCCCAAAACATGTTTGCATTCCGATACACTGTAGCTAATCGAAGACTAAATATGTAACGAAGTGAGCCTGCTACATGTAATTAACTCCTGATACTTGTTAATAAGAATATATCATAAAGGTTGATAATGTACGTGAATATTACCATAAGGCGTTATATTCAGAAACAAAAACCGTTTGAATAATATAAGTCATCATATCAGCCAGCTCTAGCGGCTTAATCATCGATGGACGTGCGCAATGACTGGTGAGCAAGAATTAAGCATACATTTTTGTAGATAATTATAATAAAGCTAGGAATCGAACAAAGGTTAATCATTAGCAATTTAATTATATGTAACAGACTTTTACTTTAACCAGCAAATATTCAGTCTCCTGGTCGCTTTCCCTTCCTATGCATAGTTAACAGAGGCAGTGAGGCACTACTCATACTACTGTCGATGAGAGTAGCTTCACACTAGTTGTCCAGTGTGTTGATCCGGTGCTTCTTACAAGATAGGACTTATTAATGGGAGGTTAAGTATACTATAAGCCTTATTCGCTATTCTCGTGTTGAAATCTTTCTCTGCACAACGCGAACGTGTAGTCTCGTGGCACCACCTCACTATGTGTTCAGTGTAAGTAGCTTGTACTGTGACACTTCAAGCGACCGTTTCCCCGTTACACCTAGTAGCACTTTGTAGTCCGACCAATGACTACGAACATGTCGTATGATGGAGTGGAATACTTACGTTCAACGCACAGGAGCTACTCTCATCTGATTCAAATTGACTGGGATGCTGCCTAACACTTTTGATCGACGATAGGTCAGGAAGCCGTAGGCACGATGTTGTCCGCTCTAGGTCTTGACGGGCAACACGATACCATTGCCAAGTTCATTCAAAATGGACTTGACGCTTAACGTGGAAATGCAGCCCTGCTTCACCTACAAGAATCTCAACAGACAGAGCTGTTAATTGAATAGAATGCTCAGCATTGCGATTTGCAGAGACAGCAGAAGGCTGCTGCCATCGGTTCGACACACTCAAAAGGTGGATTGGCGACCGCTCATTTTATGAGGCGAACCCGACGCTCCACTGGTGCCCGGACGACCAATTATCGAAGGGGCACTCCGTTTCCGTGTCTTATATTTCCTATCTCACATTGTGTACCCGTCGGTAGGTCGAGCTGCACTCTTCTCGGTGGACTGGTATCGAGAGAAATCTCGACCGTATTGGGAATGGGGTTTGTGATCGCGCGGAAACCTTCACACGATCACGGATACACCTGCAGGTTTAATCAATGTAAGCTACCCAGATCTCAACAAGATCACCTTGTCCACTATGTCGACGCTTAATACGCAAGCTACAGAACACTTGACCTGTCTCGCGATCATGCGCCTTATCCTTTACGTTCTTGCTGCGTCCAATCGTAGTTAAGGGAGGTGAGAATTCTTGACCCCCATCCAATTATCTGGAGATCTCACTTAATTTCGATATGGGCTACTTTTTTGACGTCGGAAGGCCAATATTCTAGCCCGGAAGAGAGGTCGACGCGTTTACTCAAAAGAAAATAGAACTCTATCTAAATCCAACCTAGTAAAATTGAAATCTACGAATAACATGCCTGTCTGTAAGCCAGGATATGCTGCCACGAGTCCTCTACATTCCGTCGATCATTCCTTCGCATACGTGGCCCACTTCGAATAGATCATCAATCTTCTTGAGATATCGTCAATATCCATGGGTGATTTGGTCTGGTCGGTTAAAGAATCAAGACGGATCGTCGCACGGGAATCTCACACGAAGATCTGCCCACAGATGCAATATTTTTTAAGGGATCGCCATGGCGTAGTTTAAGATTGCAGCAAAAGGGACAACCCAGGACCCACTCAAAGGCCACGCATCCCAATATAGCAACCGAGAAAGGAAATTTCAACACGAATTCAAGAGACCACTAGTCGTCAGCCAGGGTATCCTCGGAGTTTCCAATGGCGGCAGCAATATTCCCGTCTTCGACCTACTAAATCGATCGTCAATCTCCTTAACAGATCGTCAATATCCTTGAGATGCCAAAGATCTCCTTGACCGATTGTCGATATCTCTGACCAATCGTTGATCTCCCTGACCGATCGTCGATCCCCTTAACTGATCGTCGATCTCCTTGACCGATCTTCAATCACTTTGACCGATCGTTGATCTTCTTGACCGATCGTCGATCTTCTTGACATATCGTCGATCACTTGGACCGATCGCCATCTTCTCGGGTGATCGTCGATCTCCTCAGTTCATCGTCGATCAGTCTCCAGAACTGTGATCCCTGCTATTTGTCGGTCATCTTCTTGACTTTGAACACCTTTTGTGCTCCTGATCTTGGCAACTTGACTCGGTCATTGGCAACTCGATGTTCGATCTTGATATTGTGATATTTGATCGCTGTATTGCGATAATAACTCTCGGTATTATGGTATTCGATCTTGATTTTGTGTTTTTTGGTCTTGGTTGTGCGCCGCTTAACACCCCAAATCGATCCGTTTCAACAAATTGTCGCGGTTTGAGATTACTCCACCCAGCGATCGCACCAATTGTTTCAATCCGCTATACCACACTCACTGTAACCTACATCATAGGATATTGACATCTTTAATTACAATGCAGCTTAAATGGATTATCTGCTAAGCAATTTTGTTTTTAACATAGATGACGACATAAGGGCTTATCACATTAACGATGAGCACATGTAGATCGCAATTGCTCAATAGAAAATTGGTAGAATATGCGAAGACGAATGTGAAAACTTAAGCCTTGAAGTTCACGACCCATTAGTCATTGGGTCATTTTAAGTCTTGAAGTCCGTATTAAAAAAATATGAAACACTGCGAGCTAAGTTCAGGGATCGCTTTGAAGTCCTGAAATTTGAACAAGAGCAGACGTGATATACACTCGAAAATCTTGCAGATCGTCATTTTTTGAGCTGCATCACGTTCAATCTGCCGAATGAACAAACGTCGATTACGTTGTTCGTGCAGGGTCTCATCGACTGCCCATTTAGTACATCTCTCTTGTTTGTTATTGAATCCCCGAAAAAGGCAAGCTAGTTGTGAAACATATTTAATTAGCAGGAGTACAGTTCAAGTGACTTCAAAATCATATCGTCCCCCAAGGCGACAGGAAAGCGAGGGCGTAGAACCGATGGAATTCGCTTACACTAATAGTGAAAGCTCTCGCGTTTTCAGTAAAAGACATTGCAGACACGCGAAAGGTGTCAGGAGACAGGACTATATTCATATAAATTTACTGCTCTAAATGCGGTAACACGAACCACAGGAAACAGAAACTATCAAGCAGCCTACCGGAGTCCGAGGCGTTGGCCGACGGTGCGGCGTATTCGCAACAGCGTCGGACCCACGCCTCGGACTTTGGACCGCATTGGAAGACCAGTGATAGTAGGTGCGAAGCATTTGACTGATCTAGCAGCGACAAGTGGGTTTGCAGGTCTCTTGACGAAAACATTTCTTAACGCTCAATTATTTTGTTTTGCTGTTTCTGGTAGCACACACAATAATTGAGCGTTGATCAAAATTACCTTGAAGCTCGAAGAGGCAAAGGCATGCCACTCCGAGCCCTGATTGATTTAAAGAGGAAAGAACTTTGTACAAAGCCAATCGCTTAAAAAAGCGATCTTAAATATATTGAGCAAGAGATCCATCTAACGAGAATGATGGTGCGCCTGGATACAAACGTATCCGTAATAGTGATGTAACGTGCAGTAGATATTACCTATACACTTAAGGGGGTCCAAAATATGATGACTCCATCGTATTGGACTAGGATGACCAATTTGATGTTATCCTTGGACTGCAGGGACTAAAAAGGTACGATTTACAAGTCAGCTGACATCGACGAAGTGTCGATATGCCCACCGCCTGCTTCACTGGACGCCGATCTGATGAACTTCTTGAAACATCCACCACCATGTAGATGCAATACGAGTAAGTGCGATGGCTTTACATGTGGTTTTGGCTGCTGACTGCACAAGACCCAAATGTGACCAACCATCATTTGCGGAGCAAGATATTGGTGACTGCATAACAATGCAGGAAGCACCGGAGGCCCACCTCTCAGATAAGTCGAGTGGACCGGGGTATGGCTGTCCTCCTGGTGGACAACACTCAAATTATGACCAACATATTGCCAACTATGGTTAACACGGAGATTGAATAATTAAAAGGGCTCGAGCAAAGGAAATTAGTCTCCCAAAAAATTGGAATAAGATTAATGAAATGGCAAAGACATTGAGTTTTTGTTAAGTAATGGATTAAGCATTATCAGCCATAGGCTTGATCTGATTGTGCCTCCGAATTAAGAATCGAAGATCACTTAGTTACGCCTGCTGAACCAAAAGGGGTTCTTGTGTAATTACGCAGTGGCAAAGTCAAGTAGATTTGTGTACTCATCACGAAAAAAGATTTTGTTAGTGATATCTAATCGACAGTACTATTTGCCGAGAACGAGCGGGCACTCAGCAGCTCATCTATTGATAAAAGTGTCCTCAATGACAAGACTCGGATTGAGAGATACACTTATCAATCTTGGGAGTCGTTATGGGCAAATTCCTTTATATGAGAAATGGATCGAATTTAAGGGCGTGTTTACTACATCCGTACCATGCGAATTACCTAAGGATATATACGCTCGAAATAAAATTGAGATAAAACCAGGCTCGAAGCACCGTGTCATGAAGCACTGGCCACTTCCATTTGAACAGGTACTTGCGATCACCAAGATCTTTGCCGATCGCTTAGCTGCTGATCATGTAAGAGTTACCTACCCACATAGCTCTTCGAACTTATGTGTGCGAAAGGCCACAGGAGGATGGCGGAAGGTGCACGCATTTAACAAGTAATATGCTGCCATGGTACCGGCTCGGACGCCGATACTGAGAAAGGACGTTTTCATTGAAGGTATGTCAAAGAGAACCGTATTATCGTCAATGGATTGATGGATGGCTTCCAGCTTCCCAGAGCTGGATAACGTGAACGGGACATTCTGTACATGGCATTAAGCACCCCGAGCAGTATTCTCTAGGAGTGGCTAGCAATAGTATAAGGTCTTTGCAACGCCCCTGCCACATTCTACAAATGTGTTACAAATCTGTTGAAACCGGTGCGAGACTTTGCACCAACTTACTTCGACGATGTAATAGTTCATAGACGGGCCATAGGCGGAAAGACATACGTACAGTTTTATAAAATGCAAGTTCATCAGGATCTTACGCTCATGCGCAAGAATAAGCTGCAGGTTAACTTCAAAAAGTTTGTATTCGCTGCTAGAAAAATATTACTTCTTGGGTGCGTCGTTGATAAACCCTGCGCACGACCTGGTCCAGAACAATCAAGGTGAATACCGACTGGCATGTGCCAGTCGACCTTAAGAGAGTTCCAAATTTCCTTGGACGTATTTCCTTCCGATTCGTTCTTTATGCTAACCGTCCCATCAATACAGCAGATCCTTTCCCATGTTCCTTTCCCATGTTCCTTTCCTAAAACGGGATCTCTGATGTGGCACACAGCTTTCCGTTGACACACAAAATGGACACAAAATGGGGGACGTCACTGTCTGGCAGGACAGTGCTGGTGAACCCCAAACACCAGGACCCGAAGGTTTAACTTTTGCCGCCGGGTATCGATCCAGTGACCTCTGAGTTATGGCTGCCACACATAACCACTTGAGCTACAGCAAGCTTGGTCTACGTGTAGTACTACTGATACTAACCTCTGACCCATGGACACACTAATCCATCCTAATGTCCATCTCACACATGTCGCATCACCTAATGTTAACACTCTCCCTTGATGCGCACATACATGCCAGGAATCGCCTACACTTCCAGATGTAGACCTTGCAGAAAAACGGCATGCTTGGTACGCCCGAGAGCCTTCGTCAAGCCGTCTGCAATCATCGCTTCTGTTGGCATGTACTCAAGCTCAATGACGCCTTCCTTAACCTTGTCTCGAAGGAAGTGATACTTGATGTCGATATGTTTTGTTCTTGTATGGTAGACTGGATTCTTCGCCAGCGCAATACAGTCTTGATTGTCTTCATAGATGGACGTAGCCGCTCCAAGTTCTACGCCAATGTCGGACAGTAATAGTCGTAGCCACACCGCCTCTTGCGCTGCAGCGTACAATGCTATGTACTCAGCCTCGGTGGTAGAAGTCGCCACTGTCGGTTGTATCTTCGACTTCCACGACACCACATTGCCATGCAGAAAGAAAACGTAGCCTGTCGTCGAGCGGCGAGAATCTAGGTCACTTGCCCATGACGCATCAGCAAAACCGAGCAACTCTCCCTTAGCTTTGCCGTGAAATACAATGCTGTAATATGCAGTTGTCTTCAGGTATTTCAGCACACAGTTGGCCGCGATCCAGTGGCTTTTTCCGTGCCTTTCGCAGTATTTGGCCACTTCTCCTACCGCGTGCCTGATGTCTGGTCTAGTGCACGTTGTAACGTACATAAGTGCACCAACTAGCTCACGGTTAGGCCACTTCGGCACGAATTCATCATCGTCCCCCAGCTTGGTCAGCTTTTTACTTTCGTTTGGCGGTGTGTGCACGTCCTTGCATTGGTCAACGCCAAGTTTCTCAGTCAAACGCTTGATGTAAGCACACTGATTCATTCGAATTGATTTGCTCTTGCGATCACGCGTCAATTCGATGCCAAGACATTACTTCAGTTTGCCGAGCTCTTTGATACTGAACTCGGTCTTAAGTGCACGCTTGATGTCATCGATATGTTCTTGCGTCCGAGCGAAGAGCATCAAGTCGTCAACGTGAATGATCACCAGACTAAATTGAGTATCTGATTGTCGCACATAGACACAGAGATCGGCAGACGTACGCGTGAACCCTTGGCTTTCAAGGTGTGCGTTGAGACGAAAATTCCATTCTCGTGCCGCTTGCTTTGTACCGTACAAAGCTTTGTTTAGCAGACACTTCTTGTCACGGTGTTGCTTGTCAACAAATCCATCCGGCTGATCCATGTAGATCTCTTCCTTGACTTCGCCGTAGAAGAAAGCGGTGTCAACGTCAATGTTCTCCATTATCAAATCTTGCTCGGCCGCATGTGCTATAGCAACGTAGATTGACTCTTTTCGTGCTACTGGAGCAAACGTCTCAAAATAGTTCACACCAGGACGCTGGGAGAATCCCTTCGCTACGAGTCGTGCCTTGAACTTCACGATTTCTCCGTTAGGTTTGCGCTTTATGCGAAATACCCACTTGCACCCTATTGATCTTTTGTCCGAGGGTAAATCTTGAAGCGTCCACGTGTCGTGCTGTGTCAAAGCTTGAATCTCACTTTTCATTGCACGTATCCAGTCGTCCTTGTACTTGCTTTCCAACACTTGAGAGTATGTCGATGCGCTTTCACCGTCCTCTTCAGCGCTCAAACAGTACTGCGTCGCGTAGCTAGCGTCATAGTCGTCAAGGTTGAAGGTTCCTCGCCGTAGATTAAAAAACTCTTGCTCGTAGCGCTTGATTGCTTGCTTCTTGCGTGCTGGTCTCACATTCCACTCTTGTTCGCCGTCTCGTCCTGGTGTGCTTGATTGTCGTGTGGTTACTGCTCCAGTTGGTCTGTCCATTGGTACTGTACTATTTGGTGTCATAATCGGACTTCTTGGTACCGACGTGCAGGTTCCCTCATCGCTTATTGCGTGGTCCCTTGGATCCTGCATATCGTCGCCATCGCCAAGGACGTCAATTACAATAGGCGTATCTTCGTAGCGTGTCTGTTCCACGGCAGTCTCCACAAAAGTCACACTCCGGGAAACGAACACTTTTCCAGTCGCTGTATTTAGAAGTCGATACGCTATGTGTTGTCTGGCGTATCCGAGCAGCGTACACCGCAGACCGGAGGGTTCCAACTTGTTTCGATTTTGTTTGGGAATATGCGCGTAGCAAAGACTTCCAAATACGCGCATCATATCCATAAAAGGTTTGCGCTTGAACACCATCTCGAACGGGCTCAGGTTCGGACTTGAAGCTCGTGGAAGAACGTTGAGAATATCCACAGCGGTCAGCATCGCCTCACACCAGAATGTTTTATCCATCTTGGATTCGCTCAGCATACAGCGCGTCATCTCGACTAGTGTGCGATTAAGCCGCTCCGCCATGCCATTCTGCTCCGGATTATACGGCACTGTGAACTCTTGCTTTATCATCTCTTGATGGCAGAATCGAGTCATCTCGTCATTACGGTACTCACCGCCGTTATCACTGCGTAGTACCTTCACGTCCAAACCGCATTCGATTTTGATATCGTGACAGTACCTTTTAAATGCTTTCGTGACTTCATTTTTTTTTTCGTAGCGGGAATACCATCGCAAAGCGGCTGTTCATCATCATGAACGTCGCAACGTATCGATAGTTCGATCTTGATGCTGGTGTTATCGGTCCTAGAACATATGAGCATATGATTGAGTCCATACGATGACTCTCCCTCGCTTCTGCATCAGCCTTAGTGCTGTGGAAAGTGTGCTGAAATACCTGAAGACAACTGCAGATTACAGCATTGTATTTCACGGCAAAGCTAAGGGAGAGTTGCTCGGTTTTGCTGATGCGTCATGGGCAAGTGACCTAGATTCTCGCCGCTCGACGACAGGCTACGTTTTCTTTCTGCATGGCAATGCGGTGTCGTGGAAGTCGAAGAGACAACCGACAGTGGCGACTTCTACCACCGAGGCTGAGTACATAGCATTGTACGCTGCAGCGCAAGAGGCGGTGTGGCTACGACTATTACTGTCCGACATTGGCGTAGAACTTGGAGCGGCTACGTCCATCTATGAAGACAATCAAGACTGTATTGCGCTGGCGAAGAATCCAGTCTACCATACAAGAACAAAACATATCGACATCAAGTATCACTTCCTTCGAGACAAGGTTAAGGAAGGCGTCATTGAGCTTGAGTACATGCCAACAGAAGCGATGATTGCAGACGGCTTGACGAAGGCTCTCGGGCGTACCAAGCATGCCGTTTTTCTGCAAGGTCTACATCTGGAAGTGTAGGCGATTCCTGGCATGTATGTGCGCATCAAGGGAGAGTGTTAACATTAGGTGATGCGACATGTGTGAGATGGACATTAGGATGGATTAGTGTGTCCATGGGTCAGAGGTTAGTATCAGTAGTACTACACGTAGACCAAGCTTGCTGTAGCTCAAGTGGTTATGTGTGGCAGCCATAACTCAGAGGTCACTGGATCGATACCCGGCGGCAAAAGTTAAACCTTCGGGTCCTGGTGTTTGGGGTTCACCAGCACTGTCCTGCCAGACAGTGACGTCCCCCATTTTGTGTCCATTTTGTGTGTCAACGGAAAGCTGTGTGCCACATCAGAGATCCCGTTTTAGGAAAGGAACATGGGAAAGGAACATGGGAAAGGATCTGCTGTATTGATGGGACGGTTAGCACAAAGAACGGATCGGAAGGATGAGTAGCAACGGTAGAAACGAGTTGGCACTCAAACATAATTCACTTTTGGTTTTGCTACTTCGACCAACAGTCATCTTCGCTTCAACGCTCTGCTAACTCTTACAGGTTATGAGCCCAACACATAAATACTCACGCTATTTCTCCGAGATGACTCTTCATCTGTCTCATATATCGAAATTGAACGAGAAGTAGGAATGGAGCGCCGGCTTCCAGCACTGTTTTGATCGTATTAAGCCAAGATTAATACAATTGTTAATTTTGGCAATGGCAACCCAAGACAGGACAGTTTATGTGGTCTGCAGTACGATGAAAACGATGCGGACAGTGTCATCTGTTACCAGTCGCACCAGCTGCAACTAATGAACTCAAATATCCCGTTTATGAAAAGGAACTCCTTGTCATGAAATGCACACTGGCTCAATTAAGAGTCTATATGCTAGGTGTTGAACACTAAATCGTTCTCACGGACCATGCGTCTTTACGGACGGCCTTACCAGTCAACACTTCTTGTAACAAATAAAGAGGTTTTTTTCGATCTTTGCGGGGTATTAATTATCCTTCGAAAAAAACCAAGGACAAACCAACGCCGTCGCTGCCGCCCTCTCCCGCCGGACTAAATTAAAGCCGGTTACACCACCCGAAACTGGTCCGACTACTGTCGTGGTGTTGACGTCGATTTTCTTTTCGTTAGCCTCATTGGATAACATGAGAAATGTGCACGATCCGGGAATGGTTCGCATGATGCATCACCTATCGGACCCACCGGAAAAGTTTTAAACGGGTGTATATAGAAAAGTTTTAAAAGTATTCTATGGATGTCCGCAAAAACTTACTACAATATTATGCTGTTGCAGGCGACACGTATCGTGTCGTCGTACCGGATCATGGTGATGTACGATTGCGTATCATGTATGGGTACCGCGACGCACCTGTTGGTAGACATCGAGGTTATGAGAAAACATTTTTCACAGTGAGCTGCGAATTTTGTAGGCCCCGGCAGTATTATTTCGTGCGCAAGTACGTTTGGAATTGTGAGGTCTGTCAATGGGTTAAGTCTAGTCTCTCCCTTCTAGCCCCATTGCAGCCTCTGCCCGTCCCGATCGAGTGCTGGGGGTGTGTCTCCAAAGACTGACTTTCCGAAAAGTTTGCATACTTTCACAAGATACTAAAATTAATGTGCTCGGTGACAGATCAGCAAGATGGTTTATCTGATTGCTGTAACCAAATTAATTAGCACATCGGATTGTGCCAGTGTCTTTATCAATAAGGTTTTTCGCCTTGATGTTTTGCCTCGCAAATTCGTGTCCGATCGGGAACCGAAGTTTCGAGCTGAGTTCTGTTGTTCCATGTTCATAACTCTTGGGTCGCGCTTGAAGATGTCCACGTCTGACCCTTTACAAAAACAGAAGGGTAGACTGAAGAAAATTGTGTCTTCCAGGAGATCGTTCGAGGATGCGTCCATTCTTCTTTGTAAAATTAATCCAATATTTTCCGATAGATAATTTCGTCATTAACAATTTAGTCAATTCAAAATCTTATCCACCGGATAATCTAGCGTAAAACGTACCACGATAGATTCTGTCAAAGCGACATATAGACCGAAACCCATACTCACACCAAACCGGCCAATACAATACTCCTTCACGCCAGTACCGATAGAGCGCTGTTGTTACACTTCGCAACGTCAGCAGCATCTCGTCGTATTCATGCAGGTCGGAACTTACTCGACAAGGAATTTCTCTAACTTATGACCGTCAGAGTTACGGCCGCCGTTTACTGGGACTTCCATTTAATGCGTAAACATTTCCTTTTATTTTCCAGCACCGGGAAGATGTCAGACCCTATACATCATGTTATCATTTAGCAGAAAACCCCGGAGTACCCTTTATAATGGATAGGGATTCAAGCTTTGATTTCTTCTTCGGTGGGAAACCGTTGGTTCCATCAGCTCTACAAGGGACGGTGGCATTCAATACGAACATTGACTATGCGTGTCTGTTCGCGGCCCACTCGTCGACTTCCAAGTCGCAAGCGAACAACTCTGCTGTCGAGCAGCGGATGTTCGCTCTTGAGATTCAAGTTTTGCAACATACCGTGAGTTTGCACGGCGTCTGTATGAAGGCGTGCTACAAATAAAACCGGTAAAATATAACTAGGTCGAACTTCTTGGTATTTTGTTGATGAGGAACTCGCGTTTGACGCGCAGTCTTCCTCCATTAGCAAGTCCAAGCACGGGCGGGGGTCAAAAATGAGCTTGGTGTGTTTTTTAGACCGTTCCTTTTACGAGATCGTTGTCCAAATATTGGTAATCGACGTATTCGCCCACCTTAAGACCATGCGGATATGTAATCTCTTGTGTTTCAGCATATCTCTCTGGACGACCCACGTAAAATGCAGGGTGTGTTTTCATGTAGAGTGGAAAATAGAGCGTTTAACTTCGGTCTCTGGCATCTTCTACCACAGTGAAAGACCCGATAAATTGTGGTAAGAGTTTGGTATTAGTTCCAGGTAGTACTGAAACTGTAACGGGGTGAATCGTTACATAACAATTTATAAGAAATTGTTAATAGAATATAACTATAAGAGTTATATTCTCAGAATATTGTCATAAGGACAAATATTCTGTAGCACTTACGAGTAGTTCCTAATTGGTTGATATAGGCCATTATATCAACCAACGAAGACGCGCCACGACAGACGCACGCAATGAGTGGTGAGCAGATAACTGATTTACACATTTGTATTTAGACATAGTTAGATGAAGATAAATAGTGATTTATTGCAGACATTAACTATTATAAATACAGTTCTACTTTTTACTCTAACCAAGTACTCGCTTCTTCTTACCGTCTTCCTCTGCACGTACGAGTGTACGTGAAGTTACGAGGCACCGCCTTATTCTGTCATCAGAATAAGTAGCTTGTACTGTCACCAGTACAAGCTTCAGGGTGCCCCGTTACACCTGGTAGCACTTCTTAGTCCGTCCAAGGACCACGTTCACATCTAACATGAATATGTTGGATGATGAAGATGACCAAAGCTTTCACGCTACGCGTGACGGCTACTCCTTTTTGAGCGATGTCGAATGGGATGCGGTTGAACGGATGGGTTCAACCATGGGCATCCATGCTGTTAGCGTCATGCTAGAGGCTCTCAATAGAGATGCCCAACATGCTACTATCGCCAAGTTCATTCAAAATGAACTTGACGCAGAACGCGAGAAAGTTAGCCTTGCTTCACCAACAAGGTTCTCAACAAGCAGAGTTGTTGAGGGAACAGGGTGCTCAACAGTTTGAACTGTTGAGACAGCAGCAGGCTGCTGCTGGTGGGTCGATGCACTCGCGTCAACAAAAAACTTTGAAGATTGACATCTCCAAGTATAGGGGAGTCGAAGAGGACTCCCTTTTGAGATGGTTCGTCGAATTGGATGACGCCATAAGGGCGCGTCGCATCGACGACGGGGATATGCAATTTGCATTTGCCCAGTCAAATCTGGCAGGACGTGCCAAGACTCGGGCTTTGGGGCTCAAGTTGCACGACCCATATGCGTTTGGGTCGTTGGAAGTCTTCAAGTCGCGGCTCAGACAAACGTTTGAACCGCCTAGAGCTGAGTTCAGAGCTCGAACCGAACTCTTGAAGCTCAAGCAGGGTAAGCGTGATGTGCACGCTTACGCGCAACATATACGACATCTCACGAGTTGTATAAGTTCCAATCCGGTTGATGAACACACGTTGGTTTCGGTGTTCATGCAGGGTCTTGCGGATGGTCCCGTCAAGACTCACCTGTTCCAGCTTAAACTAGATTCACTAGAACAAGCCATTTCCATTGCGGAGCAGGAAGACTTCAGTCTGAGACAGGCTCGCGCCAGCTCGACATCATATCGTCAACCGAGACGATATGACAGCGGAGGTCCAGAGCCGATGGAACTCTGTTATGTAGAGAGCGAGAAGGCTCGCTCTACAGGCTACAAGAAGTTGCAGAGATGCAACAGATGTCAAAAGACAGGACACTACGCTTACGAGTGTAGTGCCCCTCGTCCAGTGTCTCGCGATACTAGGCGTAGTGACCGTCCACCCATGAGAAAGGGGCAGGGACGAGGGTCCGCTGTCGGTGCAAAGACGCAACAACGGGATGGACCGTCAAAAAACGGACAGGATCAGTAGGTGCGGAGCACCCTACTGGTCCAGCAACGTCAAGAGAATTTGTAGGCCTCTTGATGAAGGTTGCTCCCAACACACAAACGTTGTGCGTTGCTGCTCTAGGTAATGAGATATCACTCATTACCTTGAAACTCGAAGTGACGAATAAGTTGTCCTTTCGAGCTCTAGTCGATTTTGGGGCGTCCAACAATTTTGTGCGACGCCAATCGCTAGAAGATGGTCACTTTAAGTATGTAGAATGTGACACACCTCCTACGAGGATGACGGTACGTCTTGCGACAGGTGCATCCGTAACCGTCATGAAGCGTATAGTGAAGATTCACTACACGCTAGAAGATACCCAATATGATGATGACTTTATCGTATTGGAATTGGATGACAAATTTGATGTCATCCTTGGAATACCATGGCTCAGAAGGTACGAACCACGGGTAAACTGGCAACATCGAACAGTAAGGATGCCTGCCGCTTGTTCATCAGATGGCCATCTGATGAACGTTTTGGAGCGTCCACAAGCGTGTGGATGTACTACGAGTGAGTGCGATGGCCTCACTTGTGGTACGGTCGTTAGTACGACTGCACAAAACCTTAGTGTACCAAACGGTTACACTTCGGAGCAAAGTTCCGGCGGCTGTGAAGAAACACAGGCTTCGCCGAAGGTTGACCACTCGAATAAGTCGGGTGGACTGGGACAAAGATGTATCCCTAGCGGGGAACATCTAGAAGAGAAACAATCGATCGCTCAGGTTAAGCGAAACGATTATCCTAGATCGAGTGGAGAGTCTTTTGTAGAGGATCTCGCTGTGGTTGCGCAACCCCAGCTAGTGGAAGTAAAGGGAATAAGTCCCAAGATTACAGATACGGCGTAAATGAGTTCCCCGAAACCCGCGGGAATAAGTCCCCGGGAAGACCAAGGAATAAGTCCTTCGAGGCCTGAGGGAATAAGTCCCCAGGAAATGACAGAGACATTGAATGTCATAGTCAATAACGGATCAAGCGTAGGCGCTTATACACTTGATCTGATTGCGCCTCCGAAGTTGACTTTAGAGATCACTCAGTTGCCAACGCTCGAACAGAAAAGGTTCTTGCGTGATCTGCGTAGTGGCAAAGTCAAGCAGATCTGCGTACTCGTCGCTGACGACGAGTGTGTAACCGACATAAGGTCAGCAACAGTGTTCACTGAGAACGATAAAGTTCTCAGTAGTTCATCTATGGACGAGAGTGTCCTCGATGAAAGGACACGAATTGAGCGATATGACTCCCAATCATGGGAATCGCTCAAGACAAATCCTCTCTATGAAGATTTGGTTGAATTCAAGGATGTGTTCCCTGAAACTGTTCCGTGCGAATTACCGAAGGATAAAGGTATTCGACACGAGGTCGAGCTTAAACCAGGCTCGAAGTACTGTGTCATGAAGCAGTGGCCACTGCCTCGTGAACAAGTACTTGCGATCGACAAGTTCTTTGCCGATCGTTTAGCTGCGGGCCATGTGAGGGAATCAACTTCCCCACATAGCTCTCCGACCTTCTGCGTGCGAAAAGCAACAGGAGGGTGGCGGATAATGCACGCGTTCAACAAATTGAACGCTGCAACGGTACCGGCTCAGACGCCGATACCGAGGAAGGACGTAATCATTGATGGTATGTCAAAGAGTACCATCTTTTCGTCCATGGATTTGATGGATGGATTCTATCAAATCCTCATGCGAGAACGGGATATACCCTATACCACAGTTAGCACGCCTAGCAGCATGCTCTGGGAATGGCTAGTAATGCCACAAGGGCTTAGTAATGCCCCTGCCACGTTCAACAGATGTGTATCACATCTGTTGAGACCAGTACGAGAATTCGCGCCGAGTTATTTCGATGACGTATTCATCCATAGTCGAGCTATGGATGGAAATTCGGACGTTGAGGTTCACAGGTACCACGTCCGACAGGTTCTTACAATCATGCGAAAGCATCAATTGTATGCTAATCTCAAGAAGTGTATATTTGCTGCAAGCGAAATACCACTTCTTGGGTGCATCGTTGGTAAGAACGGTGTACGTCCTGATCCCGAAAAGATCAAGGCGATCACCGACTGGCCTGTGCCGGTTGATGTCAAAGGTCTTCGAAAATTCCTTGGGCTAGCGGCGTATTTGCATAAGTATTCACGCAATTACGCCGAGATGACTGTACACCTCTCTCGTTTGTTGAAAAAGAACGGGAGGTGGTTATGGAACGCTGAATGTCAGCGCTCCTTTGATGGTATCAAGGAGAGCTTGATACAATCCCCAGTCCTAGCAATAGCCGATCAGGCCAGGCCATTTCATGTGGTCTGTGATGCCACCGATTTTTCAATCGGCTGTGCATTAATGCAGTACGATCTTGAAGGCGTTGAACGCGTCGTCTGCTATCAGTCGCGTCAGCTGCAACCAGCTGAGCGGAAACTATCCAGTGCATGACAAGGAACTTCTTGTCATGAAGTATGCACTCGCGAAGTTCAGAGTCTATCTATTAGGAGATAGACCCTTCATTGTTTACACTAACCATGCGTCATTACGCACGGCTGTGAACAGCCCGCACCTTTCACAACGAATGGCGCGGTGGTTGTCATTCTTTGCAGAACACAACTTGACGGTAGAGCATAAACCAGGACGACTTAATGTAGTCGCTGATGCACTCTCACGTCGTCCCGACTTTGAACCAGTCGCGAAACCCAACAGTGAGACAGTCACTGTTGCGGTTATGACGTCCTCAGTCCCATCTACAACGTTGTATGATGATGTGAGGCGGGCATACGCCCAAGATGGTAAGATTGTGAAGTTGCTGACACATCTCTCCCAACCATCTCGAGAATCGTTGAAACGATTGTCGTCTGCGTATCGATCTGCATCAGATCGATACACTACTCGTAACGGTTTACTGTATTATAAAGCCGTTTCTGGTGACACACCACGTGTTGTCATCCCAGATGTTACTGATCTGCGTTTGCGGATCATGTTCAAGTATCACGATGCTTCTATAGGAGGACATCGTGGCCGAGAGAAAACATATCTCACGGTGAGTCGAGACTTTTACTGGCCCCGCCAGTATCAGTTTGTGCGAAAGTATGTTCGCGCATGCGAAGTCTGTCAACGATTGAATTCAAGTCCTTCACTGCGTGCACCTTTACAGCCTCTACCGGTTCCGGCTGAGTGCTGGGAATCCATCTCAATGGATTTCGTCTGCGGGTTACCCAAAGACGCACGCGGGAATACGGGTATTCTCGTATTTGTTGACAGATTCAGCAAAATGGTACACCTTGTGGCTGTACCAGAGACAAATACGGCAAGTGGCTGTGCTTGTGTCTTTATTGACACCATCTTCCGACTTCATGGGTTGCCCCGTGAACTCGTATCAGACAGAGATCCACGATTCACTGCTGATTTCTGGCGTTCCGTGTTCAAATCACTCGGAACGCGCTTGAAGATGTCGACATCTGATCATCCAGAGTCAGATGGTCAGACGGAACGTGCCAATCGTGTCCTTGAAGAGATACTTCAAGGATACGTACACTCCTTTAAGAGTTGGAGTGAGTTTTTGCCAATGGTAGAGTTTGCCATTAACAACTCGGTGCATGCGTCCACGACACGTACACCGTTTTACGTGAATGGCTTGCGCCATCTGCGTGTACCCACCTTACTAGAGTGTAACTCTGGTTTAAGGGGGGGGGGACTCACGCGAGCAAAAACCGATTTGGTTCACGCTCATCACGCTCTGACGAAGAGGTCATTGCGTTTGACGCCGATATCGATAACATCGATATCGAAGAAGATGATGCCAGTGAGAGTGCGGAAGCCCTCACTGAAGAAAAGGTTGATGTTGCTGCAGTGCGCTCACAGCGCACTGAAGCTAACGAGTCAGCAGATGAGTTCATACTGGCTCGTGAAACGGTAGTCCGTTTTGTGCAAGACTCCATCGCCGAAGCGGTGGATAAGCAAAAGCAAAACGCTGACAAGAATGGAAGGGCAAACACTCTTTTATTTAATAAAGGTGACTTAGTCCTACTGTCTACGGTTAATCTACCAAAGCATGTAGTGACTAACTTGGGTAGTAGTAAACTACTACCCAAGTACATCGGCCCATTTCGTGTATTGCACCGCCTGGGCAATGCATACACGATCGAGTTACCACGTAAGATGCGAACGCATCCCACGTTTTACGTTGGTCGGCTTAAGCCGTACCATCAGTACGCTGCTTCTTCCGATGAAGAATGCCCTTGCGCTCAAGCATCTCGCAGAGAGCCTTGTGCTCCCGATGGTGGGCATCAACAAGGGTCTGAAGAGCAGTTATCTCATCCCGAGACCGATCGACAATCCCACGAGCTACCCTTAGCTCGTCACGAAGAGATGTCAGAGATCTCTCGTTCTCAAGCTGAGCAAAGGCAAACTCAGCTCGATGCTTCGAGGCAGTGTCCGCCATTTGGAGACGCCTATTCCGCTCATGTTCGAGATCGTCGCGTAACCCTTGCGTTACGCGATAAAAGAAGCTCTCGGGAACACACCGATCCACATGATCGTGTGGAGAGCGTCTTTCCTCCTCCTCCACCTCCATTAGAGGACTCTCGCGGTGTCCAGCGCTATCTAGTTGAGCAGCTGTTGAACCACCGCGACGTGAACGGACGTCGGACGAGTTATCTCGTCCGGTGGCGCGGCTATCCCCCGTCCTGGGATTCTTGGGAGCCCCGCTCCCAACTGATGATCGACGTACCGGGTCTGGTTGAGCAGTACGACGCGGCACATCCTGTGCCGCAGAAGGACCGCCGGAGAAAGTCTTCCCGGCACGGTCGTAAAGGGATTTCAGGTTGTCAATCCCTTCGTACATCTCAATAGAGATACGTACGCGCCACCACAGGCTATTAGGGAGGTAAGCCTCCTTAGGTGCTCGTGCAGAGTTGTTCACACAACACGGGCACGAGTCTCCCCAAGAAAGGCAGGGTAATCCTTTCTCCCTTGACAGACGATGCAGCTTGTAGCGTG